CCACTTCTGGTTTTCTGGTGGTTAATTGGAGATAAGAGTCTCACAGACTTTACTGCCTGGGCTGGTTTTGAACCATGATCCTCAGATCTCAGCTTCCTGAGTAGCTAGGATTACAGGCGTGAGCCACTGGCGCCCTGCTGGTTGTTTCTTGTTCGTTTGTTTTACATTTTTAAAACAATTATTTTGTATCATCTTAACAATTTAATTGTATCTTTTCTCTGTTTTATAAGTACTTCAACTTGAGAAATATTTATGGCATCTGAATCTTAAGTGTGAAGAAGACTGGGGGTATATCTCAGCTGCCTAGCATACACAGGAAATTATGTACCTGACATGCTATGTATGGTATTCTTCAAATGGTTGATTTTTGTAGGTAAAAGAACACTGGGGTAGGAATGTTCTATTCAGAACAGAGAAGTTTCCATGACAATAAAGCTTTCTCTTAGAGCTTTTAAGATTTTAGAATGTTTAGGAAAATACATTAAAGTAGAAGAATCTGGGAATGTACAGATACAGTGTCCATGTGAAGACTTATGTTAAATGAGCTACTTAAAATGGGTTGTGTTATATCTTACACAGGTTTTGATCTTTCTGATCCTGAAAAAGAGAAGGCAGGAATTCTTGCCATTCAGTTAAAGGAGAAAAACGTTGTTCACTCTGTAAGTTACCCCCTCATATAAACTGTTCTTAACATATTCAAGAAAAAGATGAGATTATTTTAATTTAAATATTTTCTTTTTTATCTTTTTTAACAGGAGGTAATAATAACTCTTCTGAGCAATGCTGTTGCACAATTCAAAAAATATAAGTGTCCAAGAATGAAAAGTCATCTAAGTATGTATCTTTAGCCCAGTATAGTTTCATGTAACTTGGAATACCTTTAAATTATGTACATAAATCTTTTTTCTTTTGCAGTGGTTCAAATGGGAGAGGAATATTATTATGCAAAAGATTATACCAAAGCTTTGAAGTAAGTTCTGTGTACTACTTATTTTTGTAAGCATTCTAATCAGAATTCTTACAGTGAAATTGGAATATTCATATTAAAGCATATATTTATATATTTCTATTAAATGCCATTTCTGTGACAATTTTTTCAAGTGCTGGTAATAATCTGTTTTTCTGAGTTTTAGTAAACCTCAGCTTTAGCTAATGTGTAAAATCCTGTAAACTGTATTTAAAGATTTTTCTTATATAAAATGTGTTTTATAGAGTTTCCAAAAACTTTTTATTTCAGTATATCTTACTGTTTGTTACCTCTCAGGTTGCTGGATTATGTGATGTGTGATTACCGCAGTGAAGGATGGTGGACTCTGCTCACATCTATACTGACTACAGCACTGAAGTGCTCCTACCTCATGGCCCAGCTGAAGGATTACATTACGTATTCCCTAGAACTCCTTGGCAGAGGTAACATGATGTTCTTTCCATAAAATTCCACTCAACATAATTAACATCTGCAATCTTTTTAAAATGAACAGATTCAGTCTCTCATATTTAGCAGTACTTTTATGTGCAAATCATTGTACTTAGAAGGAGTATTTACTCTCAAATGTTTTAGAAACAATAAATAGAGGAATGGACTTGTCTGTCTTACAGTTCTCATTTTTTTCTTTTCCATTCAGCTTCAACTCTTAAAGATGAGCAGAAATCTCGGATAGAAAAGAACCTCATAAATGTCTTAATGGTAGGTTGGAATTCTTTATATAAAATATGGTATAGGACAGTTGGGGTGTTGCTTAAGTGACAACACTTGCCTGCAAGTGCAAGGTCATGGGTCAAATCCAGTACTACCAAAACCCAAACAACAACAAAAATGTTACAGGAATATCTGTCAATTATCTGTCTATCTATCTACCTACCCATCTATTTGTATACCTCTCTATATATACTTTTTTTTTTTCAACTAGTTGAGCAAATGTTTGACTGTTGTTGCAGAATGAAAGTCCTGATCCTGAGCCTGACTGTGATACCCTAGCTGTAAAGACTGCTCAGAAGCTGTGGGCAGACCGAGTTTCTCTGGCTGGCAGCAATATTTTTACAATATGTGTACAGGACTTTGTGCCATTTGGTAGGTAGACAGTAATTATTTTAAAGAAAGCACCCTTCTTTTTATAAAATGAACAGATGCAGAAGGAAGAATTCAGAAGTTAAAAATTTTCATGGTACAGTCATTTTATGGGTAAATTATGGATTTGTTTTTTCTCCTTAGTGTCTTCCAAAAATAATCATGTATTAAATATTTTATATATGTTTAAAAACATACCTTGTTGGCTTATTGCAGGTGTTATTTGAAGCACACTTGACAAGATAGTTATTTAAAAGATTTATGCTTGAATGTCTGAGCAGAAGATTTGGAATCAAAGCAGAATGGTTATCTTGTCACTATTTGGGGAAATTATGTTTTTAAGATTGAAGATGGATTTGAAGCTACCTATATTCTTTTATTATTTATATGCTATTTAATATATCTTATTATTCTTATATCTACATTTATTGTTATATCTTTGTTCATTTTTAAAATGTTAGCTACATTAATGTCTAACTGCCTAAAGTGCATAAGTCCACAAACATACCTCAAGTCAGAAAGAATGAGGATGTACCATTTGTGACAAGTTAGTGTGGCTCTTAGAATGTATACAGGTCTTTCATATCTGGTATTGTATAACCCAGCTCTTTTTGTTTGATTTCTAGTACAATGTAAAGCCAAGTTTCATGCTCCAAGTTTTCACGTTGATGTTCCTGTTCAATTTGATGTTTATCTAAAGGCTGATTGTCCACACCCCATTAGGTTTTCGAAGCTCTGTGTTAGCTTTAATAATCAGGTAATGGTATTTACCATGTCTTACTGTATGTATATATTATTGTGACTTGTATTACACCACATAAGATGAACCTGATGAATTTTGGGCATTAATTTCATGGTAACACATGAACCTTATTTTAAAAATAAAAATGTATAAACTTTTAGAAATTCAAGTGTTTACTTTTTCTATTTTATACTTCTGAAATCTAAGAACTCCATGTTCTTAGAGTTTCTGTAATGCATAATTTTTTTTTTTTTTGGGTCCGGTCGTGGGACCTGAACTCTGGGCCTGGGCGCTGTCCCTCAGCTCAAGGCTACCTAGCACTCTACCACTTGAGCCACAGCACCACTTCCAGCTTTTTCTGCTTATGTGGTGCTGAGGAATGGAACCCAGGGCCTCATGCATGCAAGGCAAGTGCTCTACTACTGAGCCACCTTCCCAGCCCAAGACTTCACACTTGTAAGGCAGGTGCTATGTCACTTGAGCCACTCCACTGTTTCCATGTTTAAGTATTTTTGAAGTACTGTGTACAAGTACTTGATTATATTCATTAGTGTGTTCATGTATAGATTGTCTGATCACCCAGAATTCAGTTTGAGCATTTAATCAATAAGTACATATTAAGAATTCCATTTTTTTTTTTAGCATTCTTAACTTGGAAGAGGTTGTTAGTATAGCAACCCCACTAAAATGTAAGCATTTTAGGATTAAGGGTTAGATCCAGGTCATAAATTGCCCTTGTAGGTAATGAACATTAAATCATATAGTCTAAGGTAGAAATATACAGTAAGTGTACCACAGAAAAGCGGATATTCCAAGAAAAGGTGAGTTTAAGCCCCAGGACTAGCACTAAAGAGACCAAAACAAGAGGCATACTTTCATAATTTAAAACTAATAAAAGTACTCCAGTAGAATATAAAACAAATGAATTATTTTCTGGGTATATTGTATTTGAAATTCAGGATCCAAATCATCAAGAAAAAGGTTGTATGCTTATTTTATCGTCATAAACTAGAAATAAAAATTAAAGGAGAATGTTTAAAAGTTAGACTAAGAATTTTCTGTGAGGTTAACTCATCTGCCAAGTTGGAAGGTGGCTCTTGGGAAAGTCAGAAATCTCAAACTTCTTGAATAGATGTGTATACTGATTCTGTAAATCCATGAGTGAAAATCCTCTCCATTGATTCATATGTAAGGAATATGTTGTTCTAGAAAGGTAAATAAATATTCAGATTGGGGGATTGAAGTGAAAGTGGATTTATTCTCTAGACAATCATGAATATAAGCCTGCAGTTAGGGACTTAGGCAATTATATGGGGATTTTAACACAAAGGTGTAAAAAATGAGAAAATAGAGGTGTAAAAAATGAGAAAATAGGTTAACTTGCAAAAGACATGAACACAAAGAAGAGTGGAACTGAAAGCAAGCCAAGGGCCAAAACTTGTAGGACAAGATAAAGGGGAAAAAAGACCTTTGAAGAAAAACCAGGAAGTAACCAAGAAAGATGAGAGCAGGAGGTGGTGTAATGTTACAGAGGCCACATAAAAAGAAAGCTCTTCAGGCAAAGGTGATGATAGGTAGTAGCATCTAGTGCAGCAAAGAACAAATCTTGTTTCTCCCTTTACAGAGGAATATCTAAATATTTACAGAAATCAGATAATAGTTAACAAACTAATTCTTGTGGCAGCAATGAATAGATAGGTTCCTGAATTCAGTGTCTAAATATTTTTATTAATAATCCATCATAGTATTTCAGTATTGGTAGAGTTGAAACAAAATACACTTCAACTTGGCATTTAGTGTTAACAAAACAGCTGACGTTTACCAACCGTGACTCATGCTCATCTCTTTTTCAGGAATATAACCAGTTCTGTGTACTAGAAGAAGCAACCAAAGCAAGTGAAGTTTTAGAAAATTTGACCCAAGGCAAGATGTGCTTAGTTCCTGGTAAAACAAGAAAGTTGTTATTTAAATTTGTTGCAAAAACTGAAGATGTTGGAAAGAAAATTGAGGTTAGTTATGAAATTTGTTTAGAAATATTTAAAACTACATAAGCAATATATATTTATGTCAAAAAATTTAACACACAAAATTATATTCAGTAAAAATGAGATCAGTCTTTTTTTTTTTTTAAGACTTATGTGACAAGAGCAGCAGAAACTACCTGAGTGCCAGGCATATTATATGCATTTATCATTCAATACACATACTGCTCTTTTTGTTGTTGTTGCTGGTTGTGGGGCTTGAACTCTGGGCCTGGGTACTGTCCCTCAGTTCTTCAGCTCAAGGCTAGCTAGCGCTCTACCACTTGAGCCACAGCGCCACTTCTGGTTTTCTGTGTGGTTTATTGGAGATGAGAGTCTCATGAACTTTTCTCGCCAGGCTGGCTTTGAACCGTGATCCTCAGATCTCAGCCTCCTGAGTAGCTAGGATTACAGGCATGAGCCACCAGCGCCCAGTGAGATCAGTCTTATTTCTCATTTTTAGTGACTGAATAATCAGTTTTAAGTAGTATTTGACTGTGCTTGAAAACAAAGACTAAATTCAATATTGAGTTTTTTGCTTATTCACTTTTTATAAATCCTTCATGGTTTTATTAAATCCCTAATAATTTTATTTTTCACCTGGTACCTAAGGAAGCTACCAGATATAATGGATAGTTTTAGTTTGAATCTTTTCATTAATGGATTTAGTTGAGAGAAACATTTGTTCAGCTAAGCACTGTAGCTCATACCTGTAATCCTAACTACTAAGGAGGCTAAAATCTGTTTGAAGTCAGCCCAAGCAGAAAAGTCTGAAAAAGACTTCATCTTCTGTTAACCAACAAAGTGCTGGACTGGAGATGAGGTTCAGTGGTAGAACACTAGTTGTGAACAAAAACTGTGAGCCAACTAGCTGTGAGCCAGAGTAGACTATTTATTTCAGCATCCACTGATTGAGCATCTATTATCTGAAGTACTGTTACATCATAACTATACTGTCCCATCTCTTAGATATAAACCAAAGTTATGGTATGTGTTTTAAAGGTAAAGCAGTTGAAATCTGGGCTGGGAATGTGGCTCAGTGGTAGAGTGCTTGCCTTGCATGAATGAAGCCCTGGATTCGATTCCTCAGCACCACATAAGCAGAAAAAGTCAGAGGGGCCCTGTGGCTCAAGTGGTGGAGTGCTAGCCTTGAACTGAAGAGCTGAGGGATGGTGCGCAGGCCCAGAGTTCAGGTCCCACAACTGAACAACAACAACAAAAAGTTGAAATCATGAGCTGGTTTCCCAGCCAGATGAGACTCAACAAGTATTTTGGCCCTGTTACCATGGTGTCTAGGTAAACTTTATATATCTGCTGCTCTGAGTGTAATTTTGTTGATGGAGTGATGACAAGCAGGTATGAAATGGCATATTTAACCTACCTTCCTCTTTCAGATTACTTCTGTGGATCTGGTTCTGGGCAGTGAGACTGGCAGGTGTGTAGTTTTGAATTGGCAGGGAGGGGGAGGAGATGCTGCTTCCTCCCAGGAAGCCCTGCTGGCTGCCCGATCTTTCAAAAGAAGACCTAAGCTTCCAGACAATGAGGTTCACTGGGACAGCATCATCATCCAGGCAAGCACCATGTAAGTTTACCCTGTAAAGCAGCTTGTTACACAGCATTCTCCTATTTCCTTTAAGTTATTTTTTTGTTGTAAATAGGTTACTAAGCTAAAGTTTTTTTCAAAGGATAATTTCCAGAGTTCCAAACATTTCTGTACATCTGCGACATGAACCTCCTGCCCTGATGAATGAAATGTATTCTTTGGTTGTGACTGTTCAGTCCCATGAAAAGACTCAAATCAGGGATGTGAAGCTCACTGCTGGTTTAAAGCCAGGTAAGTATGCATTGTTTTGTAAGTTTTTCAGTATTAATTTCTAACAAAGTAAATACCACTGTGTCAACAATAGGATGTTTGTTTTTAAAAGATAGTAATATACTGTATCTGGATGCCATAGGCTCGCTCATATCTGTAATCCTAGCTATTTAGAAGGCTGAAATCTGAGAATTGATTTTCGAAGCCAGCCCAGGCAGACAATTCTGAGAGACTGTTTCCTCTATCAATCAGAAAAAAAGCCAGTAATGGAGGTGTGTCTAAAGTGGTAGAGTACCAGCCTTGAGTAAAGAAGCCAAGGAAGAGCACAGGGCCTTAGGTTTGAGTGCCAGTACTGGCACTAAAATAAACAAACAGTTATGATACAGTGCTTGTTGTATAGATTACTGTGATAATGTCTGAATTCTCTATATCTTAAAATATCATTGTATTAATCCTCTTAGGACAGGATGCCAACTTAACCCAGAAAACTCATGTGACTCTTCATGGAACAGAACTATGTGATGAGTCCTACCCAGCTTTACTCACTGACATTCCTGTTGGAGACTTATATCCAGGAGAACAGGTAAACTTGGTCAACTGGGATTGTGGATGAAATTGCTTTCTAGTTTTATGTATTCAATGAGTTTTAGGCAGGTTCAGCACCTATAATCAGCATTTTCTAGGACTAAAAGAGTGATTTAACTAATGAACACTTTTCCCGTATTTAAATGTGTAAAGTATTTTAGAAGAGAGTTTTTGTGAGGTATTTTAGAACAAATAATTTTGATTTGAAGAACTAGTTGCTGATAAAGTAATTGTTGCTTATAATTTAGTGCAGTAACCTTCATTCTATTTCTGTTTCCAATCCAATTATGACAAAATTGTTGCGAGGTTAAGGGTGTTAGTGAAAGGAGTTGGCGTAGTTAGGATCCCATTGATGGCAGTGGCGGGTACAGGGTACAGGTTTTCCTTAGTTACAGTAGTTATTCTGAAAACTTGTGTAAATGTTAGTGAATTTAGCCAAGAAGTGCAGCGAACATGTATCAGGAGGAATTCTTTAATAGTAATTAAAATATAACACTTACTTTGTCACAGCTGGAAAAAACATTATATATTCGCTGTGGAACAGTGGGCTCAAGAATGTTTCTTGTATATGTTTCTTACCTGATCAATACAACTGTTGAAGAAAAAGAAATTGTTTGCAAGTGTCACAAGGTATTTTTTTTCTGTAACTACCTCATGAAGAATCTTTCTCATCTTCTTGGCAAGAGTGTTGTGTCAGCTTTCTCACTCCAGAAGAACAAACAGTCTAGAAATTTGGGGATTTGTAGTTTATTTACTGTACAGATTCTGAGCAATGGGCTTTTTATTAAGTTATTAGGAGAGAAAAATTTGCCATAAAAGGTGATTAGTATTTTCCAGTTGTGAGAGGAAGGCATGTAATTACTGTCAAAGATTTCAGATAGCCTAGTAAAGTACTGACCTCAAATAGTCATTAGGAAATAAATAAGGCTGCCAGTCTCAGAAGTGGATGTGCATTGTCTCATTTAATTCTAACGACCCTTTGGGGATTATGAAAATGAAACTTAAAGCCACTCCTGTTATATGTGTGATGTCCTAAAGCTACATAGTTCTTTCCAGAGCCACATAGCTTATATAAACATGTAAGTATGTATCTGGCTAGGATGGAAATCCACATCACTCTTGCATTTCAGTGTGAGGTTTTTCTTATTTTTCCTTTTGCTAATACAAGGGCTTGAAGTCAGGCCTTGTGCTCTTGCTAGGCTTTTTCACTCATAGCTGGTATTCTACCACTTGAGCCATGCCTCCATATCTGGCTTTTGATTATTAATCCTGACCAGGCTGGCTTCAAACTGTAATTCTCACATCTCAGTCTCCTGAGGAGCTACAATTATAATCAAGAGTCTGGTATCCAGCACAGCATGAGCTTTTAACTAACACAACTATGTTTAAAAGTTTCCTACCTACAGTGTAGGTTATCTGTTTTGAAAAGTATAATAACCATGTTGTTTTTTGAACAGAGTCTTAGGAAAGGTAGCATATTGGTTAAGAATAGAGCTCCATAATCAGTTTGGGTAAAGTTTTTGCCTTTGTCACTTATGTACTATCTGTGTGACCTCCTCATCTTAAAATATCAATCATAATAGCACCTATCTCCTTGGATGATTATGAGCATTAAATAATACAGACATAATTATCTTGAGTCAAGGTAAGGTAAATAACTTCAATGAAGGGAAGGCCTAGATTCTAGGCTTAGCACCATTTATGGCCTTAGGCAAGTCACTTAATCCTTAACATCTGGCTCCTCTTGTGTAAATTGGTGACCATGCTGCTTGCCTTCTTCACTGAATCCTGACATAAATAAAGTAGAAGAAAGCACTTTATGGTGTGAGTTTTTATATAGTCACAGACAACTTAGAAACAGTGGGCCTCTACAGAGATGTTCACAAGAACGCAACTCTTGCTTCTTAATATAGTTCAAATATAATTTGTTCATTAATTACGAATTATTCTTTGTATGTCTTCTATTTTCATATTTTTATTTATGCAAAAAGTTTAGAAAAGCTGGGCTGGGTAAGTAGCTTAGTGGTAGAGTGCTTGCTTTGCATGCATGAGGCCCTGGGTTCAATTCCTCAGCACCACATAAGCAAAAACGCCCAAAGTGGCTCTGTGGCTTAAGAGATAGAGTGCTAGCCTTGAGCTGAAGAGCTGAGGGTCAGTGCTCAGGCCCAGAGTTCAGGCCCCACAACTGACCAAAAAAAAAAAAGAAAAGAAAATCCATTTGAATATGCCCTTTGCATTTTCTTGCAGGATGAAACTGTAACTATAGAAACAGTCTTTCCATTTGATGTTGCAGTTAAGTTTGTTTCCACAAAGGTATGTAATGCCTGTGATGCCTATTGGAAACATTGAGATGATAGAAATAGAAGGAAATAAAATGCCTTAATCATTCCTCTCATTGGTAACAGTTTGAGCACCTGGAAAGGGTCTATGCTGACATTCCCTTTCTGCTCATGACGGACCTCTTAAGTGCCTCACCCTGGGCCCTCACAGTTGTTTCCAGTGAGCTGAAGCTTGCTTCATCGATGACTTCAGTGGATCAGCTGGAGTCCCAACTGGACAGAGGTAAAACTGCATCACCCCCATCTAAGGTCTAGAAAGAGTGCTGGGGGAACAGTTATTAGCTTTTTACTTCATGAGGGACCTTGAGACATTCACAAAAGAAATAATACATGTGTTATTAGAGTTAATGTCATTTACCCTTTGTGTTTACCTCATTTTTTTTTTTGGTTGTGGGGCTTGAACTCTGGTCCTAGGCTCTGTCCCTGAGCTCTTCAGCTCAAGGCAAGCCCTCTACCACTTGAGCCACAGTGTCACTTCCTGTTTTCTGGTGGTTAATTGGAGGTAAGAGTCTCATGGACTTAACTGCCTGGGCTAGCTTTGAACTGCAATCCTCAGATCTCAGCCTCCTGAGTAGCTAGGATTACAGGTGTGAGCTCCCAGCACCCAGCTGTGTCTACCTTATTTTAAACCATGAGATTTCCTACTCTGAGGACATTACACTGTAAAAATGATTTGAAAGTAAAATAGGAATTTTTTCATGTTTAAATTTCTGTTTTGGTGAGTCTAGGGATTGAAATCAGGGCCTCCTGCTTATTTGGCAAACACTACTACTTGAGCCATCTCTCAGTCCTTTTTAGTTGTTTTTGATTGGCCTCCCAATCAGTCCCTAGGACTGTCATATACCTTGCCTGCATGTCTTGAGTACATGAGATTGCAGGAGTATATCACTGTGCCCAGCTTTGTTTGTAAGGTAGTCAGGTGACTTTTTGGCTGGTTAACCCAAACTAAAAATCCTTCCTTCCTCCTACCTTCCAAGTAGCATGTCCTACCACAGCTGATGTATGTTTGAATATTTTAATTTTTTTCTTAATTTAAACCAAATATTGTTTATAATTTCAAATGAGATAAGATGTTTATTAAACTACAAATTAGAGAAAAGTAGAGGATAAATTTCTTAAATCACTAAAACAATTTATAGAACAAATTAAAACCCAAAACAAAACATTTTTAATCCTATGTACTTTGGACTTATTTGTACTCTTGGTTCTAATGTTTGCTTCCTCAAAAAGCAACCCTGAATTGGTCATTTGTACTTTACAGACTTTCATAATATATGAATCCTTATCCAGTCAGGCACTGGCATACCTTCCCAGCATCTTCTGCAGAAGTCTGTACTTCATTCTTTTTTTTTGGGTCCAGTCGTGGGGCCTGAACTCTGGGCCTGGGCGCTGTCCCTCAGCTCTTCAGCTCAAGGCTAGCGCTCTACTACTTGAGCTACAGCGCCACTTCCAGCTTTTTTCGTTTTGCATATGTGGTGCTGAGGAATCGAACCCAGGGCCTCATGCATGCAAGGCAAGCGCTCTACCACTGAGCCACCTTCCCAGCCCCAGTCTGTACTTTATTCTTATTCTCAGATTACAACTAGAACAACTTACCATTCTTACTAAACATTGTCCTCATAAGCCTTTGAATGTGTTATTGCTTGCTCAGAACCTTCACACTACTCTTGTCAGCCTGTTCGATTTTTACTTGCTCTTTTTGATTTCTTGATCTTCTCAAGCAGGGCTGTGTACTCTTCCTTCTTTACTCTTACAGTATTTTGCACATACATCTATAATAATAATTATTCCCTTATATTGCATTTGGTTATAAATCTGGCTCTGTAAATTGTGTATTCTTTTAGAGACAGGGCTGTATATGTACATTTCTGTATTGTAGCATCATTTAATAAGGGTTTATATTAAATTAGAAATAATCTCTTGTTTGATCTGTGCTATATTAATATCCTGTTGCTGCCATAATAAGTAACCACAAGTTAGTTGCACAAATTTATTGCCTTTAGCTCTGGAGTATAGAAGTCCAAAAAGCTAGTGTGGATACAGACATGTACATTCCTCTCAAGGGTCTAACGGAGACTCTAGAAGCTACTTGCCCTTCTTGTCATGGCTCCATCTGTAATATTTCTCTGTCACAAATTGATCTTGCTTAGAACTTAGGGAGGTAATTTGGTAATTTAATATGAATGGCCCAGGATTTTTTGTTTTGTTTTGTTTTGTTTTTAAGCTATCTCCAGAGCACTGAATTGATGTACCTTTTATAACTTTCTGGGCTACAATATAATTTCTTAGTTCTTAAAATCATGTAAAGGAATTTAAAAGCATGAGTTAAGCTAGCTTTTTTCCTTTTATCTGTGGATAATTGTCAGTCATAAGCAAAGATTGATTAATCCATCAGTCTTCTTCATTAGAAAGCTAATTTTTAAAAAACCAATGTTGAGGAATGTTGTTATTACTTCAGAGTGGCAATCCCAGGCTTGCTAATACTGGAGTTAGATAGTAGGCACCGTTGCTCACTCACATTTCAAAGTGACATAGACTGTAAAATGCTGAAAGGTCAGGCAGACTTGATGTAGGTGAATGCTTAGCTTGTCATCAGGGAATTTACTTGAAAACTTACAAAAGGAAACCTTCCTTGCACAAAAAGGTCAGTGACCACACTAGACAATATGAAGTATCAGTAGTATTTGTACTATTTATATACTATCAATAATAAATATTTACTTAGAGAAAGCCAGAATTTTTTAAAGAAACATTCTGAATACTTACGGTAATGAAAGATTTCTCTTTCTTTGTACCTAAAAGTCTTTCTTTGTAGAAGTAAACTAATTTGGAAAAAAACAATCACAAGGTATCATTCTGTCTCCATGCTCCCCATTCACTAACTTAGTAGATGTCTGTCACAGATATACAGATGCTACACTGGTTTCTATCAATATTAAATATTCCATGAGTATTATGTAAATATTATTTTCTTAAAATATTTACTATATTTCAAGGCCACTGGCCTTTGTGATCTTGAAAAAGCATTCAGTATTAGCCTTAGTTTCTGAGTCCCTATAAATATTATTTAATTAATCTGGTACTTTGTTATATGATATGAATGTGAACCTCCTAGATGAAATCTTTGCATAAGATTATAAAGATTCTTTCTTGTAGTTGTCTTACAGACTGGAGAGAGTGCTAGTGAATGCTTCTGTCTTCGATGCCCATCTGTTGGAAATGTTGAAGGTGGAGTAGCAACTGGACATTATATTATCTCCTGGAAAAGGTAAAAATTCTATTAACCCTATCTCTTCTTTGTTGTTCTCATACCTTTATTATTATAATTTATCATTCGGTAAGAGTAGAATAAAAGACACATGAGTGAGTAATATGGTATTAAAAATACAAAGATTGAAATGAAAAATTCAACTTTTATTTGTGTTTATCACAATTTGTTACTTATGTGCTAATGAATTTTTAGTCAGACTAAATCTGAAGATAGGATTACTGGAAAACATCAGATGAAACTGTCCTCATTTGCAGCCACTAGGATTATTTCAGGGATGGGAAATATCCTGTTCACACAATATATGAAGCTTGAGCAGTCATTTAGTATATATCAGGACAGGCATGTATGTTTCTTCTATACTTCTTGTCAGCTGCCCAGGGCCATCTGCCTCTACTGATAATTTTGTATGGTCTGTAAATGATGTTATAGATATCTGTATGGCCCTTGGCAGAAGAAAGGTTTCTACTACTGGTAGAAAACCTAGGAGAATTAAGAGTTTCAAGGGTTGGAGGCATGGCTCAGGTTGTAGAGAGCCAGCCAATGAGCTTAAGTATCAGATACCAGGTTCAAGTCCCAGTATCAGACAAAAAAAAA